GCATTTATTTATAAAGCAATTGACATTTACGTTTGTATTTTACAACAGCGAGTTATATGTCGCATTTTATAATGCGACTTATATGTCACATTTCACTTGCGAATATGTCACATTTTGCAATTGCGGCTTATATGTAGCATTTGCAAACTACGATATAGAAGTCGCAGTGAGGAATTACGATTTATTGGTTGCAACACTCCACAATATCCAAACCAATTTCTGTTCCGAATTAACAATGTAGGTGTGTCTGAACAGTTGTAGGCTTATGTATGTAAGAGGGCCAAGCGTATTATATGATAATATTCCTATAGCGAAAGTCATTATAGGTACTATTGAATTAGTTCACTCTAATGTATAGTAGGCGTCTACCTTACTCTTTCATTATCGAGTTGTAATGGTTGTATGTTAGATTCCATTTTTTCGCCTAAAAATTAACTTGTCTTATGTCCGTTATAATGCAGCTAATCATTTTCATGACATCTTTTCTTCTCTTGAATGTCTCACTTAAACTCTTGCTCTATTATGAGCCTACTCAAATCAAACTAAATTAATTGATTCTCTTTGGCCGACCTTCTGTATATAAATTTACAAACTTATGTCATGTTCACATTAATTATCAAAAAAAAATGTAACAAATACTCTTTCCGTTCCAATTTATGTGAACCTGTTTGACTGAGCATGGAGTTTATAAAGAAATAAAGAGACTTTTGGAATTTGTGGTCCTAAACAAGTCAAAAAGGGATCCAGAGTATTTATGTGGTTATAAAAACTTCTCATTAAGGATGGAATTGAAAGTTTAAGGTAAATTGTTTCCATATTTAGAAAGGGATAATTTTTTAGAACGGACCAAAAAGGAAATAGACTCACATAAACTAGAACGGAGGGAGTAATGATTTTTGTTCACACTACTTGAAGTTCTGGATGTGCTTCCTCTCCGTCCCCATAGTTTTTCCTTTTCACACTGTCTCTCCTTAATAAGTTGTATGTCAATAATTACACCCGTGACTTATCAATTTAGAACATCAACTCCCGTTATAAAAGCAAGGCGAAATTTTTTAATTTCTCATCTATTCTCTTGAGCTTTCTACATTTGAAAAAATACTAAATAAATGGTAGCATTAACTCATGAACAACTGGGAGAGAGGGATTCAAAGATATGTTGATAAACATTATAACTTTTATAAATATTTTAATGTAATAGTGACATCATCTTGCTTGGATCGAGTGGCTTATATGGCATAGATTCATCAAATTCACTAATCCCATAGATTCTCTTGTCTGCCAACCTAATTCCTCTGGACATGAAAAGATTTACGTTATCCTTTCCGCATATAATATCAACAAAAGTTGTGTATTTGAGTTTTCAAGGGACTGATATTTTTACTTTGTTTTTTTCCTTTTAGAGAGATGATTCTGTTGAGTTGTCCCACGCCGGTGGGAGTTGAGGTCCTTGGTCTCCTTATATGGCTCGAGCAATCCTCACCTCACAAGCTAGCTTTTGGGGTTGAGTTAGACCCAATGTCCATTCTTATCATGGTATCAGAGCCAGGCCCAACCCAATTATTGTTACCGATGTTGGACCCCCATTTATGTTGTGCACGTCTTCCTAGAGGCCTGGCGTGAGGGGGGTGTTGAGTTGTCCCACATCGGTGGGAGTTGAGGTCCTTGGTCTCCTTATATAGCTTGGGCAATCCTCACCTCACAAGCTAGCTTTTGGGGTTGAGTTAGACCCAATGTCCATTCTTATCATGGTATCAGAGTCAGGCTCATCCCAATTATTGTTACCGATGTTGGGCCCCCATTTATGTTGTGCACGCTCCACAGGCCTGGGCGTGNGAGGCCTGGGCGGGGGGGGGGGTGTTGAGTTGTCCCACATCGGTGGGAGTTAAGGTCCTTGGGCAATGTCCATTCTTATCAGACTCTAGAGCTAAGAATCATTGATAATTACATCTAAACTGTACTTTAAAGATTAAGACCCACTCCATAATAGATGAAATTCATGTCTTGATTTTACACACACAATATTATACACATATAGCTACGAATTTTTAGCTTCAAATATGAAATCGGTAGCTAGTACCTAATAATAACTACAAAAATTGAACTTTCGTAGTTATTTGTAATTTCGTAATTTCCTAGCTACAAAACTTTTATTGGAAAAGTTAATTTCTCTTTTTTGCTATTGTTGCTTAGTATCGTGGCAATAATTAGTAATTACCTGAATAGGTACAATATACTTAGTTGCTATATATGTAGAATGTTATAGTGATATATTAAATCACTGATTTAAAGCTAATTTTAGTGATAAATATAAGCCGCGTGCTCAAAGATCATAGATTGGATCATTGTACCCTGGTCTTTGATATAAATAAACAAGTACTCTATTAATAGAATAGTTCATATCATATTGTACATAGCTGGTTGAACAAGCAAAATGTTAATGAGTATAGGATAAAAAGAAATAAATAGTTATTATTATTCATAACTTTATGTTGATATCTTAACCTTTTTGATTATTAAATTATTACGCCGAATAACATATAATAATACTTCAATATATAATTCCTTACTGACATAATTAAAACCCAAATATAGGACAAAACAAAAAAATATATAGGACAAGACGAAAAAGATATAGGAAAAACTCATCTATTACATGCACCTAGCTACCAAACTTAGCCCATGCGTGCATGTACATCCAAGTAAGTGTTTTGTTGAGGAGAATTCAAGATGAATTAAGGGGTCACTTGTATACCTATAAAAATTTAAATCTCTCTCTCTCTCTCTCAATAAACACATAATGTGAACTTACTTAAGAAAGTGCTTGAACTTGTTGAAGAAAGTTACTTAGAAATGAAGATCAAGTTATTGCGACAAGTATGAACCCTTTAACTAGGTCTACTATACAGTCACATCTCTATATATAATTTGTTCCAGAATTTTTTGGTTGTTATAGTGAAGTGCTGTTATATAGAACATATATTATAACATAGCACGGAATTTAGTTTCAAAAAGAAACTTGAGTTTTATAGTGAATAATTGTTATATAGCGATGCTGAGAGAGGTCTGACGGTATATAGTACACATTAACATTTAACATAAACTTGGACCTCTGGTATATTGGCAAAAGCTCACACCTAGGAGGTAACTATTGGTTGCAATTCAAAGTTAATTTGTCATTTTGTATAATATTTACAGAAGGAAGGGGGGACTTGGAGCAACGGTTAAGTAGTCTCCGTGCAGCCTATAGATCACGAGTTCGGGCCGTAGAATCAGCCACTAATACTTGCATTAGGGTAAGCTGTCTACATCACACCCTTTGTGGTGTGCGGCCCTTCCCCGAACCCTACGCAAACGCGGGATGCTTTATGCACCGGGCTATCCTTCGGTTTTCAAAAAGGTGTAGCTAGCTGCTATATTTACTAAACGTTTAGCTGCTACAGAAATAGAAATAAATCCATCATTGCCCCACCAAGATTGAAGTAGATGGAATCAAATATTAGAGTTGATCATTTTCCCTTGGATTGACACACCCATAACATCTGGCCATTACTCTAATTTATAGAATAAGATGGATGCATTGATTATGTGAGAGTATAGGAAAATAGTTGATTAATATCACTTCACTTTCCATTGCAGCAGCTTTACCCTTTCGTATACACAAAGAGACAATTAGAATCTCAAAATCAGTATATCTATGCAGATTCACAGTTGACAATCGGAAATTAAAACTGTTAGAAGAGCAGCAGCAGCATGAGTTGAGTAGTCAGTAGTCACCATTTACAACAAGAATTAGACAACTCAGATATTTCACTACTCTACAGACTAGACTGTTAACAGAATCCATCAATAAACTAACGGTCCATCCCACTCTTTACCAGAGTGAGTACACACTCAAATATAGTTAAAGTGCAGGCACTATTTTATGCAACTTTTTATTGGAGTGTTGGATTAAATAGCATACACAAACTCTTTTCATGAACTCCGTATTATGACACGGACATAAATATACATGTAGAAGAACAGTAAACTTTCAACAAATATTAAATTCTAAACCTATAATTTCAAAAATATAATGTATTCGGTCTAAGAATCTCAAAGGTTAAGCCCATCAAGATTACGGATCTACCTCTAGGCCACCTAATATTTTTCAGGGTCAAAAACACATGAAAATATTTTTTTTTTTTGGGAGGCCGTTAGATATGAACCCAGGATCGATGTCATTCCAGCCAGAGGCGGACCTAGGAGTTGAAGCTCGTGAGTGCACTTTTAGATTCAACCAAAATCTGCTTGCATATAGGGTGCCCACTACTAATATATTATTATTTTCTAACGATATATACATGTATATATATATGTAGTTTTTGCCAAACTTACGGGTGCTGATGTCCCCTATTTGTATAGATAGCATAGTTCTGCCCCTGATTCCAGCTCCAGTACCATATTGAATTATCTGACCATCTCATATAAAAACTTAAAACTTCTCATGATCTAGTAGTACTCCATAGATCTTCTTTAGCAAGTACTAGCTAGTATGCATATAAGCAATTCAGATATTTCATTACTAATATACAGACTTAACAGAAACCATCAATTAAATAACACTCCATTCATCAACTTTTTACAAGGTACACACTGATAACAGTTAAACTACAGGCACTATTCTATGCCGTAATTTTTTTTTGCAAAGAATTCTAATGGTACAAAAAGGGCAGCCTGGTGCACTAAGCTTCCGCTACGGGGTCCGGGAAAGAGCCGGACCACAAGCGTCTATTAGCCTTACCCTACATTTCTGCAAGAGACTGTTTCCACGGCTCGAACCCATGACCTCTTGGTCACACGGCAACAACTTTACCAATTACGCCAAGGCTCCCTTCTAATGGTACAAAGAAAGAACAAGAACAAAAAACACAGTACTACTGCTCGTGGTCTAGTATAATAAATATCTTACTACTGTAGTATGCATGGAGCTCATGCAAATTAAAGTGACAGCCAAAGAGTTAACTTGAAAATGATAGACTTAAAGTGGAAGATGTTGTACTGATATGTTCCTTGAGGCCATTGGTTTCAGTTATGGGAAAAAGTGGTAGGGTTTTGAGGGGTTTATTGATACAACAAGGTAAAGTATTTGGGCTAATGTTCATCATCAAAACCCAATCTTTTCCATATGGTCTTATCATGCAATTTTCCATATTCTCAACTGGTCTTGAAATATCCATTGGATATAGGTAAGTCATTACTCGAGATGATGCATCTTTGATTCCACCCTATAATACAAAAAAAAGAAAGAAAAAGTGTTAAGAAAAGAAAGAAGAATCAGAGAAAAATAAGATCTAAAAACATAGCTTGAAAGCATCATATCTAAAAATACCAACGTTCACATGCATATAATTTTATGTTTAATTTATATAATACAACATTTGTTTCATTTTCTTTCTTTTCATTTCTTTGTTTATTTTTCCTTTTCTTCCTTTTTTGAGATGGAATGCTAGAGTTTTCAAAGTCAAAGAACTCTCATGTTCATTTTTTTTCAAGATTTGAGTAGTTTGTTAAAAATATACGAAAGAATTTGAGCATCTAATCCAAAACTTTAAGATTATGCGTGGAATGATGATCCTAAACATTAAACTTCTATGAAAATATTGAAATAACCTATGAGATGCAAGTATATTCTCTAACATGATCCTGCATGTGTAATTGATCAATTCTAAGGTTCACACGTTAATCAAAAACAAACTTTTTCTTTTTCTTCTATATATATACTGTTTTTTTTTTTCTGGAAAGATTGAAGAGTGAAGCTGATGTAGAGAGAGAGAGTTTGGAAAAGTCTAGAGCAAGAGAGAGGTCTCAACAAGCTGAATTAGAAAGTGAGCTTTTGAGCTGAATTGAGGTTATGAAAGCTTGGATCTAATACCATACTATAAAATTTATCCAACCAAAAATCTCAAGGCTATAAATAGAACGACCAATGACATATATATATCATAAACCCTTTCTAAAATTCTTATATAATCAAAGAGGGACAAGTTTAACTTTTTCATAATTATGTTTCTTTGCTCCTCCATTTTCGGTCACTTTCAAAAGATGAAAAAGTACAATACCCAAACTAAAGATATAAGTTGACTAGCTTATGAAATAGTTTCCTCATGCAGAATAAAACCAAAATATAATAGTAATAATAATAAAACTGAATATAAAGAAGATCATATAGTATTATTTTGTGTATGTCTCTACCTCTTGAAGAAGTCCAGTAGAGCTAATAGGACATATTTGGTTCACAACAGATGAAGAATTATGAGAGTAGTGATCAGTAGGGCAATGAAAAAGGTTGTTTGTGTTGGTGCTTGTGGTGGTTGTACTATGTGCATCAACAGGATATTGAGGAAAAATTTGTTGTTGGTTCATTTGGGCAAGGAGTTTTTTCTTAAGCTTCTGTCTATCTCTAGCTTTGTGGTTTTGAAACCAATAAAACACATTTTTCCCTTCAATTTTTCCATAAGAAGATAAATGGGCAGTAATATTTTGTATTTGAGTAGCATTTGGATTCCTTAAACCTTTCCTATACATTTCTTCTAAGAACATAAGTTGTTCTGGGGTTGGACTCCACCTTGTTGGTCTTGTCAATTTTTCTCTTTTTAGAAAAGACATGTTTTTTTTTTCTTGGGGTTGAGACTGAAAAGGTTAAGGCTTAGATCAACTGATTAAACTGTTTGGAGAATGAGGGTTTTCATAGGTATATATAGAGGAAAATGTGATAGAAGAATTGAATGAGGTAGTTTGGAATCATAATTACATTATGGAAACTGAATAATATGCATGTGCGCCAATTACACAATAACAAGTTATTGTCATAAATTTCACCGTTGGTCCTGCACAGTTTCTTATAGCTACGTACTACCTAAAGATTAAAGGAAATACAGAGAGAATTATCACCAGAAAAAAGGAAGTACTACCAAATAAAAAGTTAGGGTTTGACACATTTGACGCAAAAATATTAAAGGGGTGATTAAGAAATGTTTTTGTCTTCGATGAGTGAAAAGGATATGGACTAAATGGGCGTTGAGACATAAGAATTGTAAAATTTCGGAAAAAAGTTAATTTGTTTTCAAGTGAAAAAGGTATTTGAAAATATAGAGTTGTGTTTGGACATGAATAGAATTTTGGGCTGTTTTTTGAATTTTTGTGAGTGATCTGAAGTGAAAATTATGAAAAATAGCTTTTTGGAGGTTTTCAAATTTTCGAAAAATTTCAAAATTCATCTTCAAGTGGAAATCGAAAATTTCATGGCAAGACATTAATTTCGAAAAAGTAAAAAAAATAAAATCGAAAAAAATGAATCTTTTTAATGGCCAGACGGGCTCTAAGTATAACTGTTCAGAAAAGGAGACTTTAAAAGAGTTAAGTGAGTCTCACAGCACATTGTAAAACTTTTATCACAGAGGAAAATGAAATCATTCTCAAAATTAACAAAATATGAGAATATATATTCAATTTTTATATAAGTACACTATTCATCTTACAAATCACAGAAAAATTAATTCACTCTGACACGCCCAATAACTTCTATTCATCTTACAAATCAAAGAAAAAAATAATTCACTCTGAAATGCACATTTACTCAATGTGTGCGTGTGTCTAGCTCATTCATACATTTTAAATAGGGTTACTTAAGTGGATACAAATGACATTGGTTTTTTCCTCTACCTTATTTTAATGGTTGGTCGTTATAATTAAAACTAGTAGACTGATTCATCACCTAATTAAATTCACTATTGTTTTGACATTTTAACAACCAATAATAAAAAGATAAAAAGAGGACAACAACACACGTGATTAATTTCATAGCGAAAGAAGTGAAAAAAGTGATTGTATGATTTCGTCATCACGATTTTTCATTATCATTACTTCGACAAGAAAGGAAGTTGGATGCATTGGATACAACATTAATAAAGCCAACGTCTCTTTTCCTTCTTTCCCTTTTTAGCCAAGCTGGAAATTTATAACTCCAACTTCAACTTATTTATACACTGAAGACACTCCCAACAGTGAACTAGAAATGTTTATAACAATGTTTCACTATCACTAGTAATCCAAGAAATAAAAGTCTTTCTTACCAAAAGTTTGTTTTATGTATGGAGACTGGAATTTCATCAACCAGATAAATAAATAAAAAATCTCTTGTGTTTTGAGGATTTAACAATTGAAATATAGATTAAAAAAATTTCTCGCCTATATTGATAACATCCATAGCTGGAAGCTTCAGCAGTGAGGATGTTTGAGGAAGAAGACGAGAGGAGTTTCAGAGAGGGAATTCGAGAGAGAAATGAAAAACCTCCATTATCTTCTTCTGAGATTAAAATGTATCTGTACAAGGACTATATATAGACAAACACCTACTATAGAACTAACCGACTACCTACAGTAATAACCGTCAAACTAACTTACTAACTGTACAAATAATACAACTTAATGTACAATATTCTACAACCACAACTTGTATTAGCTCACCACTCTTCTACACCCCCCTCAAGCTGATGGCTTGAACAGGTTCTTCAGCCCAAGTTTCTCTAGTAGATAGTCATGTTGGACCTTACCCAAGCTTTTGGTTATCAAATTAGCTAGTTGCTCTTTGGTAGAAACATGTTTAGTTCTCATCACCCCTTGCATGATTTTTCCCTTAAAAAATGGCAGTTTATGTCTATATATTTAGTCCTCTCATGAAAAATTGGACTTGCAGCAATCTGAATGGCTGCCTTGCTGTCACACATATGTCAACATGTAACTTTTGCTTCACACCAAGCTCTTCAAACAACCCTATTAGCCAGGTCACTTCAGCTGCACATGTGGCCATACTTCTGAATTCAGCTTCTGCAGAGCTCCTTGTTATAGTGTCTTGTTTCTTAGACCTCCATGATACAAGTGTATTTCCAAACTTGACAATGTAGCTAGTAACTAACCTTCTTGTCTGTAGACAAGCTCCCCAGTCAGAGTCACAATAGGCAGTAAGCTTATTTGTGCTATCAGCAGGCATAAGTAGGCCAAGTCCAGTTCAGGATGTATCTCACCACTCTAAGGGTAGCTTCCATATGTGACACCTTTGGGCAGTGCATGAATTGACTAAGAACTTGCACTGCGAAGGATAGGTCAGGTCTGGTCATGGTGAGATATAGCAGTCGTCCAACTAACCTTTGAAAGCTACTAGGATCTTTTAACATCTCATCATCACGATTGACTTTCATCCAATTGTCATACTCTGTTGAAGTTAGTTTCTGATTCATTTCAAGTTGAGTTCCAGCAGGTTTTGCTCCACCAAGGCCAGATTTAGAGATCAATTCCATGGCATACTTCCTCTGATTCATCACCATGCCTTCCTTAGACCTGGCAAACTCAATTCCCAAAAAGAACTTCAATTCACCAAGATCTTTCATTTTGAAGCTGGTTTGCAGATCACTTCTTGTCTTATTTACCTGCATAGGATTGGTTCCAGTGATGAGTAAATCATCTACATACACTAGGACAATCACAATGTCATCACTTCTTTGTTTAGTGAACAAAGAATAGTCAAATTGACTCTGCTTGAATCCCATCTTCACAAGGGCTTCAGTGAGTTTTAAGTTCCATTGCCTTGGGGCCTACTTAAGGCTATACAATGATTTGTCCAATTTGCAGACCTTCTTTGTCTCTCCCCGTCTGCAAAATCCTTCAGTAATATGCATGTACACTTTCTCAAGAAGATCACCATTGAGGAATGCAATGTAAACATTCATTTGGAAGATTAACCAGTGTTTAGCAGCAGCCAGTGCAATGATGGACCTCACAGTTACCATCTTAGCCATAGGAGAAAACGGTCTCAGTGTAATCAAGGCCCTCTCTCTGGCTGTACCCTTTGGCCACTAGTCTGGCTACATAAACACAATGACAAATGAGTCAAGATAGGGTTGGAATACACTGTTCATCAAGTGCATGAATGTTGCTGGGGCATTGGTCAACCCAAATGACATCACAAGAAACTCGTAATGACCATATCGAGTCCTCAAGGTAGTCTTCGGAATATTCGGATCCCTAATCTTCAGGTGATGATATCATGACCACAAATCAATCTTTGAGAACACTCTGGCACCTTGTAGCTGATCAAACAGGTCATCAATGTGTGGCAAGGGATACATGTTCTTTACCGTAACCTTGTTCAACTGCCGATAATCATATCATACTGACAATCGCAGTATATGACATAAGCCGTTATGATTACCGGAAACATTCCATCATTTCGCCTTTCCAGGGTTGTTCAAAGCCTTATGGTTTCTCGTCCTCCAAAATCATAATGTTGCAGCCGATTCAGCTCCCTAGGACGTATTAAACGCGCCTACTATTACACTTTTCAAGGGTGATAATGGCGCCATCGGTTACACTTCCCCTCCCCCGTCTTCGTAGAAATGGGAGCTTTTTGGGATTAATATTTCACCCAAGTTTCTTCCTATATTTGCCTACATCTTCCTTTCNTTCAATTCACCAAGATCTTTCATTTTGAAGCTGGTTTGCAGATCACTTCTTGTCTTATTTACCTGCATAGGATTGGTTCCAGTGATGAGTAAATCATCTACATACACTAGGACAATCACAATGTCATCACTTCTTTGTTTAGTGAACAAAGAATAGTCAAATTGACTCTGCTTGAATCCCATCTTCACAAGGGCTTCAGTGAGTTTTAAGTTCCATTGCCTTGGGGCCTACTTAAGGCTATACAATGATTTGTCCAATTTGCAGACCTTCTTTGTCTCTCCCCGTCTGCAAAATCCTTCAGTAATATGCATGTACACTTTCTCAAGAAGATCACCATTGAGGAATGCAATGTAAACATTCATTTGGAAGATTAACCAGTGTTTAGCAGCAGCCAGTGCAATGATGGACCTCACAGTTACCATCTTAGCCATAGGAGAAAAGGTCTCAGTGTAATCAAGGCCCTCTCTCTGGCTGTACCCTTTGGCCACTAGTCTGGCTTTGTATCTTTCAACCTCTCCTGAAGCTCTGTATTTGATTTTAAAAATCCATTTGCATCCAATGAGAGTCTTGCCAGGAGGTAAGTCTACAATAGTCCAAGTGCTATTGTCTTCAAGTGCTGCAACTTCCTGCTTCATTGCCTGCACCCATTTAGGGTCAGACACAACCTCTTTGAAGGTCTTGGGTTCAATTACTGCTGAGTGAAGAGCCAAAATGTGTTGAGAAGGTGGCTTCAGATGTGAATATGTAACATAGGAGAAAATAAGATATGTACAGGAGTTGCTCACTGGTTTGGTGACATAATCCTGCATCCACAATGGAGGTCTGCTTGGTCTGCCAGATCTTCTGAGCTCCATAAAAGTGGATGGTTCAGTTAAGGAATTGATGTCTGCAACTAATTGTGAGAGAACTTGTGCAATAGATTGGTCAGGGATCTGAGTAGATGATGAGAGAATCTCTGCATAAGCTTGTTCAGGAATCTGAGGAGATGATGAAACCTCCCCCTCAGTTGGATCATTCATAGGAGTGTACTGATTTGTGAGAGTTTGAGACACCTCTGCAGTAGAATCATCAGATGATAACAAGTCCAGAACTGGAAATATAGGAGTACCTGCGGACTTCAGATGTTTGAAGGGAAAAATATCCTCTTTGAACACCACATTTCTGCATACTAAGAGAGTCTTGTTCTGAAGATCATATAGTTTGTATCCCTTTTGGGTGGAAGTGTAGCCCACAAGTACTGTTGGGATGGCTCTGGAGGAAAACTTATCCATGTATTTAGGGACAACTGCATAACACATGCATCCAAATACTCTCAGGTGACTTAGAGAAGGAGCATGCAAATAAAGAATCTCAAATGGAGATTGAAGTTGATAACTCTTGATGACAGCCTGTTCAGAAGATAGACAACAGTGTTGACACATTCACCCCAAAATCTGAGAGGGATACCTACTTGGAACCTTAATGCTCTGGCTATTTCAAGGATAATTTTGTGTTTCCGTTCTGCTACTCCATTCTGCTTTGGAGTATAAACACATGTACTTTGATGTTCAACTCCAAGAGTAGATAGGAATTCCTTGAACTCAGTGCTAAAGAACTCACTACCATTATCTATTTTGAGTGTCTTAACAAAAACAAAGAATTCCTTAAGCACTATAGTATAAGACGTTAAATGTAAGAGAAAAATCCAGGTAAATCTAGTGTGGTCAACCACAATTGTGACAAAAAATCATTTGCCATCATATGTTGGAACTCTGTAGGGACCCCAAATATCACAATGTAGTAAATCAAAAGCAGAAGTAGGCATAGTATTACTCAGCTGAAAGGGCAACTTTGTTTGTTTTGCAAGAGGAAATACAGTACAATGTTGATGAGAATTAGATTTCAAGTGTCTAAGCAACTCGTGTTTCTTTATTACTTCTAATGGAGCATGCCCTAACTTCTTATGCCACAAGCTACTAGAATCTGATACAACAAACATGTAAGAGTAGCTAGTCTTATTTATAGAACGTGTGTTATTCACTTGTTGTTTGGAGTCCTGACATGAGGCTTTTACTTGCTTCTCCTGTAACGCATATAGTCTATGTTTCTCCCTACCAATCCCCTTCACCTGTCCATTGAAGAGATCCAGGAAGATACAGAAGTCAGGAAAGAACAGTGCCAAGCACTTCAGTTCCTTAGTGAGTTTGGATACTGAGAGAATATTGAACTTAAACTCAGGTATATACGGCACATTAGATATGTATTGGTTCTTAAACACAAAAGCCAATCCTGTGTGTGTAACTGATACTACCCCTCTTGTAGGTCAATGCATATTATTCCTGTCTGATTTTGGTACTAATTTGTATGCTCTCAACATTTGTAAGCTAGAGGTCATGTGATTAGAAGCACCTGTATCCACAATCCATTCTCTATCACTCTAGATAGACACAGGGTCTGTTTCTGTACCTGCAGCTGCTGACTTGGTTGAGGGTCCTTCATCTGATCCCTTGCTGAGCATTTGAATGGTCTGTTGATACTGCTCTGGTGTGAAGAAGGTTGAAGGAGCTTGTTGCTAACCTGTTGGTAATGACAAAGAGGTGAAGCCTCCCCTGGCAGGTGGGTGTTGCCCAAGTTTGCCAACATGACCATTTTCTCCACATGTTACATCTCCTGTAAAAGGTGTCATCCAGCCAGCTTGATTTGCATAGGAGTTACCAGTTCCAGTTGCTCCTCCTCTCCTTTTAGACTTGAAGTCTAATGGATATCCAACTAGTTTATAACAGTTTTCCTTAGTATGACCTTTCAGATGATAGTACTCACACACAGGTATGCTTCTTTTTGGTCCAGGTTTGAAATTAGAATCAGCATAGTTTCTCCCTTATTACTGAACAAGGCAGTGCTTTCTATTGCCTCAGTGACCTGTGAGGTTTGTGTGAAATTAGCCAAGTTTCTTTGGCTCTCTTGATCTATGATCATGGATTATGCCTTGTTTACTGATGGAGTGGGATACATCATTGTGATCTAATTCCTTGCTTGGCTGTAGGACTCATTCAGACCAGTTAAAAAATGCATTAACCTTTGATATTCAAAGTGCTCGGACATTTCCTATCACAATGCTAGGCAAGCCTGTTCAACACAATTAACATAACGATCTTTTGGTATTTCCATTTTTCCAAATCAGTTATGAACACAAGTCTTTCATTTAATATAATAAAATACGCGGAAGAAAGAACAAAATACGCAAATACAGCCATACTGCCCGATCCTGGTGTTACTAGTCATGAGCCACTAAGATACTGTCCAGTACTGTCTACTCAATACAAGAAGAAAAGATTGAAATAAATAACACTAAGGGTAGGAAGGAGAAAGGCAGGGCTGCGAACACCGTGCAGCTACCTTGCTATCTCCGTAAATACTCAGAACTGCTGAAAGCTCTCACTCTGAAGCTCTGGCACCTGGATCTGCACACAAGGTACGGGGAGTAACGTGAGTACGCCAACTCAGTAAGTAACCAAAGTAAATAAAGTCTGAGTGTAGTGACGAGCATTTAAATCATATACATAATCTAAAATAAAATCTCAATGGAAATATTAGAGTCAAATCCGTGGTTCAATTTCCAAACAACACGCAAAAACTTCAGTTTCAATGAAAGTTATTTAAAACAATTGTTCAACACATTTCAATAGAGGCTCAGTATAAAGGAGAGAGAAAACAGTAAATTTCATAAACAAGCCCCTGGGACTAAGCATCGCTCATATATATTTACGATCCCTCGGGCAGTCTCTCAGTCACTCGTGACTCAACTCTCGTCAATCAGAACTCTCACTCAGCAGTCTCACTCAATAGATAACTCATAATAGTAACTGCTGCAGCGTGCAGCCCGATCCGTAATATATAGTCGACTGCGCTCAGTGGGGGTGTGCAGACTCCGAGGGGCTCCTACAGCCAAAGCGCTATATCGCTACGGCGTGCAGCCTGATCCACATATCGCTACGGCGTGTAGCCCGATCCATATACATATAAATATCGCTGTGGTGTGCAGCCCGATCCATAAAGATATATATAATCCTCACCATCAGGTCCTCGACCTCTCTCAGTCCTCAACCTCACAGACACTCGGGCATCTCAATAAAAAAAATCAGGGAAACTCAGCCCAAACAACTTTCATACATTTAAAACATAGTAATGAAGCATGAATCAAAAGTAAACAGGTAAAAATCATGGCTGAGGATATGCTTCGAATCAAAACACTGTGAGGAAAGTAGTAAAATACCCCTGAGGGTTCAAACGGATCGGCACAAAGCCCCAAACATGGCATTCAGCCCAAATTAACAGATTCATTTCCAAA